GAAACTGCTGGGGAGTGAACGAGAGCTGCAGCATGGTGAGGCACATCTGAATGTTCTGGGCTCCAGTTTCTAAGGAAATTGTCCTGCACCTACAATGAACATTTTTTTTTCAAGAGTTACATAATAGCAATTAAGGACTATTCTTAAATGTTCTCTTTACAAATAGCAATAAATGTACGCTGTGGGCTTAGGCCCCTAAAAATGTTTACTCGTTCAATAATGACTTGCTGAGTGCCTACTCTGTAGGTGGTCTCCTGAGAGGCAGTTGGGAGGAGGGCTCTAGGAACCCCACCCTAGGAATCTGCTTGAAAAGTCAAGCCATACACATGGGAAAATTCAGCACCACCACCAGACAAACCGGGGAGATGCTGTAGACATTTAGAAAAGGGGAGTCAGTGGTTAGAGAAGGCTTCACAGAGGAAGTGGGATGAAAGGATGGGGAGAGGCATTTACTGGGTGACAATGACTGAAATTAAAGTTCCAGGGACAGGTATGAGTTTGCCTACCGGGAGGCACTGCACGTGCTGTAAGCCAATCTGTGAAGAGCAGAGGCTTCAGGATGAGAAGGGAACGTTGAGTTAGACAGGCACAGTAGAAACTAAACAACACCTGGAAGTAAACACAAAGACCTTTTCCACTTTCCTGTATTTTATTGGTTTTTTAATTGCAAAAAAAAAAGAAAAGAAACCTCACTTGGAAAAGAAAAAGCAGGAGGAAGAAAAAAGAAGACATAGGCAGGACCTTGAGGCTGGAGTAAGCAGGTTCCTCTGTCTCCAGGTTGTAAAGGGCGTCGTCAGGTTTTTATGGATGGAGGAGAGGAGAGGTGTTCAGAAGGTAAGCTGGACTGGAATGTGGGTGTGGAATGTGGGAGTGAAAATGTCCTCACTGTCACAGGACGAGTTCTGTGGCTCTTACATTATGTACGGTGACCCCATTGCTTGCTATGCTTTCTTCAGACTACCCTACCTTCATACAACTAAGCTACCAGCTGGACCTCACACCTGGGCCATTCACTGGGCACATGCGGTATCTCAGGCCTGATCTTTCTTAAGCCATCAGGTCGGGGGGGAAATGAGATTGTTGACTACTCTTTGCTATAGGAATACTTTCTCTCCAGATCCAATTATGTTTCAACCACTCCACAGTCCTTGTTCCTAACTTTGGAAGCAAACCCAGGTCCAAATCCTAACTCTACCACATTCTGGCTCAATGAACTTGGTCAAGTTGCTTAATTTTTGCAAAGGGTTTGCTCATCTGCAAATTACTGATGACACCTCTGAGGCTTTGTAGCAAGTAAATGAGATACTCGTGGTGGAGCCGCACCCCGGACTGTGGACAATCCTAAGTGTCCCCACGTGAACTGGAAGCAGCAGGCGGCCAACGACATTTCCCCAAACTCCACCTTTGGAGTTCAACTGCACAGTTTACTTTTCTTCAGAAATTCTTTTCTGATTTTAAAAGAATTGAAAATTACATGCTCAATGAAAATCATAAAAAATAAACCAAAAATGTTAAGTAATGAAAATTAGTCTTAATCCCACTACTCAAAATAAACACTATTAGCATATGGCATATTTCTTCCAGTATTTTCTTGTGCATAAAATTCTTTTTCTTTCTTCTATAAGATGAGGCTCAAAATGCAACTGTTTTCCTTTCTTTTTTAACTCAAATTTATCTCTTAAGTGTTTTCAAAAGAATTAAAATTGATACATCATATTCCATCACATAGCCACATCATGAAATAAATCTGTATTGTTAGATATTTAAATTGTTTCTATTTTTTATATTTATGAATAACACTGCAATTAACGTCTTTGCATATCAATATTTGTGCATTTACCTGATAGCTTCAGGATAGAATTCCAGAGGTAAAACCACTGCTAGCTATAAATATTGATAAGGCTATTGATGTGACTTGCCCTTTAGACAGTTTATGCCAATTTATGTGACCCCCAACAGTGTATAATAATGCTCATCTCATCTATTCCAATAGCATGGAATATTATCATTTTTAATATTTCACAGCATTTATAAATTATATTCCCCAATTTGTAGTGATAATATTTAAGATAAATTTCTACTTTATTTCTCAAGTTGGCCCTTTCTCTTCTTGCCCCTCATAAGTAGCACCTTTTTAAAAATTGGCACAAACAAGGCATATATGCTTAATTTCTGGAACTTGCTCATGCCCTGGAATGATCTCTATATTTAGTGAAACCATCTCACCCCTCTTATTTAACCACTAGAATATGAAGAGCAAGGTGTCCAGATTACAAGTGGTATCAATATCCAAATCCTAATGTCACAGATTACATTACCATCAATTATTACCATCAATCTGGTCTTTGTTTTCATTTACATAACGAATCACTGTGAACTTTTCACCCTCTGTATGATGAGCTGTCCTGTTCCGTCCACCTTATAAGTCAAAACTCTCTGAGTTTCCAGACTCAGCCAGACAGCAAAGGCTATGTGTTTAGTTTATTTTTCTCAACCAAGTTTATGGATAGTTTAACTGTACCTCTGCCAAGAGTGGTGGGTAAGAAGTGCCAGCAGAAAGCCCGCGACATGGCCAATCAAAGGAAAGATGCAACTGATGGTCAGTAGGGAGATGTCTGGATTCCAAGATTCTCTCGACAGCACCACACCAGCAACTGTGACCACCAAGAGGAGGACCCCACCAACAATGGCCCCAATCTGAAGCAAACCAATAAAATAAGTACATAAACATCATGGTCTTTAGATTCTACGATGCAAAGTCCATCACCGCGCTAAAGAGGACTTTGAGACCACCAGATACGTCATTCAACAGAGAATAAACCTGTGGTCCAAAGTGGTCACGTGACTTGGCTAAGCTAGAAACTGGGAAGGCTCAACACGAAGCTCAGTCTTCTTGTGTTGTGAACTGTATCTTCTCCCTTTCAGTGGAGGGTTTGGTCAGAAAGATTGGGAGGTCGTTTTCATGGATAGGACATATTTGTGAAATGAGTGAAACCTGACAATAAGCATCCAACACCTGTACATGCACCTCTTAGATACCTCGCTGGTACCCTCTTATCTGAGATCCTTCCCACCTGACCATCCCCCACTCCCTTCCCACCATCTCTTCACCCACCAGTGGCTTCTTACTGTGGCTTCTTACTGCTTGGGTCCCTGCCCTTCTCTCCTCCAAGTGAAATTTACCCATTCTTCATGAGACAATCTGAGCTAAGTAATGTAATCTGAGAGGTACTGACAAATACTTCTACCCTCTCCCAAATGAATGCTGTCTCTTTTGTTGTTTATCAGAAACAAAAAAGTCAACAGAAAATTTTCCAGAGGTTTGAGTCTTCGATCAGATAGGAAAGAAACAAGAGCTAGAATATTTGGGAAAGATCAGGAACTTGGCAAGCTCCCATTCATACCAGGTTGACAGCAAACTATGCACCTAGTTACAGCATCAACCTTGATGTGAAATGATTCAGGTAGCCATGGGTAACCAAAACAAAACAAAAACAACTCCGTGTGCCGTAGGTGTGTTCCGGAGGTCACCTTTACTGCCCACACACAGGGACAGACTGGGCCTCACCTCCTGGAGGATGGTGGAACACGCTGAGAAGGCCTGCGACTATAAATGTCCCTCTGCACCTTTCTACCAAAAAAGGGATTGAAAGTTTAAAATTCACAGAAAGCAATTTGTTTAGAAAATGAATCAGATCTTAAATTAAAAGAGTATGAAGAACAGCGCTCGCTTTGGCAGCACGTATACTAAAATTGGAACGATACAGAAAAGATTAACATGCCCCTAGGCCAGGATGACATGCAAATTCATGAAGAGTTCCATATTTGCCGAAACCGGTTTGGCTCAGTGGATAGAGCCTCGGCTTGCCGATATACCAAAATAATGATGAAATTTTCCCAGCCTTTTTTTTTTAATGAAGGCACTCTAGGATATTTATGCATATTACTAAAAATGTGCTACCACAAATCCAATGGAATAGCCAAAGGAAAAGGGTTTTAAATCTGACCTTTACAGAAATGAAACTGACCTACAGAAAATATATCTGATTTCCCCACAGTCACTGACAGATCTGGAAACACCAAAATAGTGACTTTCTTTGTTAGAAAATGATCGAGGGTGGAGTACTTGAAAAGTAAGAGGTTCCAATAATCATATTTTCTTCTCTTGTTTTATAAACAAAATTATAACCATAAACTGCCTCATTAGACATTTTCTTTTACCAAAATAACAACGTCACTCCTGTACGCACCGCGGAAGCCTCCCCCAGCGCTCTGTGTTCACTGACTTGTCTGCGTGACCCCTTTCTCATATTCCTCGTCTCATTGGAGGGATGGTGGCAGTGGTTTGGTTTTGGGCCAAACCGGGAAAGCAGCGTCCATTTGTGCAGGCAAATGGGGCGGCCATGTTCTGCCAGGTAGAGCCAAATGGCAGGCGCCTAAACTGAACCAAACTGTGCACCTTCAGCTGAGATGAACTCAGGCATATTTGCTGAACCTCGGTTAGCCCCCCGTGTTTGTTTCCTTATGAATGTAAACTATAACTGCAACTCTTTACACTCTTCATGAAAGCAGCACATACAATTCTGTGTCTTCTAAAACAATACATAGCCCCGGCTGGTTTGGCTCAGTGGATAGAGTGTCGGCCTGTGGATTGAAGGGTCCTGGGTTCGATTCTGGTCAAGGGCACATGCCCAGGTTGTGGGCTCAATCCCCAGTTGGGGTGGGGGGGCGTGCAGAAGGAAACCTATCAATGATTCTCTCTCATCATTGATGTATCTCTCTCTCTCTCCCTCTCCCTTCCTCTCTGAAATATATATATAAACATAGACACTAAAAATAAGCATCTATAAAAATAAATAAATAAAACAATATGGAACTGGGAAATCAGAAAGCATCAGAAAGCACCCCAGGAGAGTAACACCCTTGTTGAGAATATCCTCTGTCCGGCTAGCTATTTTCACAAGCCATTTAACAGGGACATGTGCTTGGTTCTCCCGCACACACAAGGCGGCCTGGAAGGAGGCGGCGGGAGTTGCGGTTACCACTCTTCCATGGCCAGGCTCCTCCGCGTGCCCTGGATGTATCTCACTGTGACAGGTCTTCACGGGGCCGGCGGCCCTGGCCCGTGCGTACAAACTACAGCCTTAGGAGCTCCCCCAGGAATGTTTCCCAAAGCCCGCCCTTGGTCCCGCGCTTCCAGGCAACCAGCTCTGCTCCCTAAACACTGGGCTCCCCGGCGCGCACCCCTGAGCAGCGGCCGCCTGGGCGCCTGTGTGAAGCCTTGGGAGTAGATGGCCCTGGGTTCTCTGACCACACGCAGGCCTCAGCTTCCTGTCACTCCAGCGGGAGTCCCCACTTTCCGGGGTGTCGTAAGCCTCGGCTGATGGGTCTATGGGAGTGACAGAGCAAGGCTTACAGGAGCCGAGGAAACTTGGACGTAGGATCCAAAAATGTAGGACAGGCAGGGAAAATTGCTGGGTGTGGGACCGCATGTGACTGGCTTGTTTGTTTCAGTCATTGCTACATCCATCTGTTACGTCTCTCAGTCTGAGGATATGCCCATTGCTAGGCGGAGCTGCTTACCTTGAGGATGGTTTTGGATTGTTTGGGACACCTGTAATTCACATAGACACCGAAGGCCACAGGAACGGTCAGGCACAGGAGGGAAATCCCTGAATAGAAGAGAAATCCGTCAGACGGCGTCGCCTCTCACCCTAACCCTCGAGCCTCAACAATTTCTATTTCAATTACATAAAAGCTTTCATTAAAGCTGCATTTTGCATCTGCATCCACCTCCAATTTTATTTTTATTTTTTCAATCTTTGAAAGACAGTCTTTGAAGAGGATCTGATACTACTGAGTGCCACCATGTTTGGTCCATCATGTCTCTCAGAATCCTTCTGACAACCCCAGGGAATTTCAGGGACAACTGGAAATGTCAAGTTAGCACACAGGAGGAGGCTCTTTAATCTGTGATCATCTTTGGTGCTCTGTATGGGGTCCCCTCCGCAACCACAGCTATTGTTCCCTATTGGACGCCAATGGGTCATTTGCTTCACAAAGTAAGAATACCTGTTTCAGACATAAAAAACAGCACTTGTTACACACACCAAAGCCATTTCTCCTAGTCTCCAAGTGTAGCTAGGTAACCCAAATGCAAGTAGGAAAAAAATGCCTTTTAATTAACACAAGCGAATAAAGGCACTGAAGGCAGGCTCAGTAGAGCAGGGGTCATCTTGCCAACGGCATCCATACACTGACATTTCCAGAGCTACTTGTCTGCAATACTGACTCCAAAGTTATACGAATTGCTCATAATATTTTGGGTTTTAATTATTTATGAATGTCTTTCAGAATATGTTATCAAAACAATATATCAAGTAACTTACTAATCAGAATAGGTTGTATACATAAAATCATGATCTCTAAATTAAGATTTCCCTCAAATTTTACAAAGTCAATAGTCTCCAGCTATTATCAGAAGATGGCGCTAGTCATGGTTTTGAAATATGGACCAGGGGTGGCAAGCCCTCCAAGTGCCGACTTGAGACTCCAGATTGACATGTTAGACTTTTAAGAGTCATAGTTTCTACAGCTCTCCAGAGGCTCTGACCAAACTAGAACAGGCAGATCATTTTATCCAGTTTTTCTTCTAAGCCTGGTGAGTCCACAGAGACCTCTAGGAACTGGACAGAGTTTGATGAGAAATAATATTCAGGAAAAGAGATAATGAAAGGAGAATAGTTGTGACATGTGGACACACTTCAATAACCAACAGGAATCATTTCTGTTGATCAGCAAAGGGGTCAAGGCTCACAGGCGATGTGAAAGGTGGACCGGTCGGAACTGAGGTCTCATTAGAGCTGCTGTGATCCAGGTAACCTTTCGGTCATGATGAGTCCCGTTGCTTTACAATAAACTATATAAATGTTTTTAATAAATAAGTTTTCTGGTTTTATTTTCAAACATGAGCTTATGTAGGGGTTAAGAGCTTGGACTTTGCTGACAGATTCCTAAGTCAGAATTCTGGTGCTGTCCTTACCAGCTGCACAAACTTGGTCAAGTTACTTAATCGCTCTCATCCTGAAAATCTAGGAAATGGCAGTAGTAGTAGAATCTGTACTGTGGGGTTACTTAGAAAATTAAATTAGGTAACAGCAATAACAAAACAAAACAAAAAAAGACAAAAAACAACCCTGCCTAACGGAGACACTTAGTAAACAACAGCTATTACTCTTACCATCCCCATTCCTGTTACTCTTTCATTTCATAAGCTCATACAGACCTATGTTCTGATACGGAATGGTGACATTCTGCTCAAAATTCCAGGACAAGCTGTAGAGGTAAAGGCAGAGTGGCATCATTCCCAGGGCAGCCACTGTGGAGCAGGTTGTCATGCTGATGCTGAAAGTAAAATTAAAATAATGTGTAAGAGAGAGCGTTTGGAATGAAGAAGTTAGCTCGCTAACCAAATGTAACTATCGGACACAACTTCTTAGAGATTACATGGGGTAACTTACTCGAAGCTCACTCCTGTCTTATTATTCAACAAATGATGGTGGTACTTGTGGTCTAGAAAAAGATTTCTAGCAGTTCTCGACATCCATCAATTAACTCTTTTTAAATTTTTATTTTATTTTTTCCAGCACTATTTATCCTCTTATTAACTTGAGGATATACTTGTCCTAAATGGTCTGCTAATTATAGGAATAAGTATTTTTTCCTTATACAGTTCTTTTCTATTGAGATATAATTTACAGACCATAAAATTCATCATTTTAAAGTATTTTTAGACAGGAATAGAGATCAATGAAATACAACAGGGCATACAGATATCAACTCATGCCTATATGGTCAATTAATATTTGACAAAGGAGGCAAGAGCATACAATAAAGACAGTCTCTCCAATAAGTGGTGTTGAGAAAATTGGGCAGGTACGTGCAAAACAATGCAACTAGGCCACCAACTCACACCATACACAAGAATAACTTCAAAATGGATAAGACTTAAACATAAGTCATAAAATCATGAAAATCCTAGAAGAAAACATAGGCAGTAAAATCTCAGACACCTCTCATAGCAATATGTTTGTGATACATCTCCTGGAGCAAGGAAAGCAAAGGAGAAAATGAACAAAAGGGACTACATCAACATAAAAGGCTTCTGCGCAGCAAAAGAAACCATCAACAAAATGAAAAGGGAACCCACTGTAGGGGAGAACATATTGGTCAATAGTTTACCTGATAAGGGGCAATCTCTAAACTATATAAAGAACTTATACAATTCAATACCAGGAAAACAAACAGTCCAATTTAAAAACTGGCAAAATGCCTGAATAGACACTTCTCCAAAGAGGACATGCTGATGGCCAAAAGACACATGAAAAGATGCTCAATGTCACTCACTGATCATCAGAGTGATGCAAATTAAAACCACAATGAGATATCACCTCACACCTGTCACAATGACTACATTCAATCAACAAAACAACAAATGTGGGAGAGCATGTGGTGGAAAGGGAGCCCTAGTGCACTGTTGGTGGGAATGCAGACTGGTGCAGCCACTTTGGAAAACAGTATAGTTTCCACACAAAAATTAAAAATGGAACTGCCTCTTGACCCAGTGATCCCACTTCTTGAAATTTACTCTAAGAATCCCAAAACACCAATTCGAAAGAATAGATCACCCCTATGTTCATAGCAGCGTTATTTATGGCAGCCAGGACCTGGAAGCAGCCCAAGTGCCCATCAGTAGATGAGTGGATAAAAAAGCTGTGGTACATGTACACAGTGAAATACTGTGTGGCCGTAAAAAAGAAGGAAATCTTTTCTTTTGCAATAGCACCAATGGCAGCGGAGATAATTATGGTAAGTGAAATAAACCAGTCAGAGAAAAGCAAATACCATATAATCTCACTTATATGTGCAACTTAGTGAACAAAATAAACTGACAAACAGAATAGAAACAGAGGCATGGATACATGGAACAGGCTGTCAGCTGTCAGCGGGGAGACGGAAAGGGAATTGGATGAAAGGGGAAGGGATTAGCCAAAGAATATATATGCACACCCACAGACACAGACAACAGTGTGGTGGCTAGAGGGAAGGGGAGTTAGGGGTTGGGTGGAGGTGGGAAAGGGGAGGAGAGAGACATGGGACATCTGTAAGAGTGTCAACAATAAAAATAAAGTTAAAAAATAAACTTTAAAAATATAAAAATAAAGTGGTTTTAGTATATTCGCAAGAGTGTGCAACAATAAAACAATGTCCATAATATTTTCATCAGACAAAATAAAAGCCACCCCAGTAGCAGTCCACTCCTCATCCCCTTCTTCCCCAAACCCCTGGCAACCAATACTTAACCTATTTTCTGTCTTTATAGGACTGCCCATTCTGGACATTTCTTATAAATTTAATTACATGTATTATCTGGCTTCTTTCGCTTGTCATAGTTTTAAGGTTCCTCTATGTTTTAGCATGTATCAGTAGTTCAGTCTTTTTTCTGATGGAATGTTATCTTGGTTACTGTGGTTTTATTACACTGTATGAAATAAGTTATTGCTTCGTACAATACATTGTTTTTAATTTTTCCAAATATGTAAGGTCTTATTTTTTGTCTTTAGTTATTTTAACTGGAGAAAAGCACTTGGTTACACATTAACATACGTAAGCATGTATGCATGGAATGCACAAGCGCGTGTAATGAGCGACCAGACACTGGGAGCAGAGCTTTGGAAGCCCCACCCCCAACCAACC